GCTTCCTTACTTCAGATGAGGGCCGTGATGGGATTAAGGGTGTTGCAGCTCACCCTTATCCTCGTACTGGCTTATCACATCAGGTGGGACCATCCCCTAAGTGCCCCAATGCATCCTTATGGGACTGGCTAATCACTGAGAGTCGTGGCCCAGCCACACAGCCTCCACAGACTTGGGGGTACAGTGTAATCTATGATCCTTCTTCACATGGTTCACTGATGGAGAACCTTCCTCAGTCACTGATCCCACTCAAGTGCACGTACAGTAATAAACATGTGACCATGGCCTGGCCAAAATGGTATTTGAGTTGGTTTGATAGCACTTCAGTAAACAGTAAAAGGTTTAACAGAGTACCTGGTCTATAATGATGTTAGTGTTTGCTGGGAACAGAAAGGCTCAGGTTTTCTGAGTCCCATGGATTTCGGAGGTATGTTCTAAATGGCCAAGTTTGGTAGCTTGAAGCCAGGAATAAAGAGGACTGAGGACTGATAATGTTGAGCTGAATGCTAATTATGTTCCTGGCATTGTACCTAAGTGTTTAGTATCCCAGTGATCTCATTGAATCCTCACAGCAACTTTTAGATAGAAACTTTGATTCCCATTTTGTAGATTCAGTAACTGATGCTTAGAGAAGTAATTGCATTGAAGTCACTCAGCCATGATGCGTGACCTCAGAGCTAAACTCAGAACTACAGTGGTGCAGGTACACGTTATTATGCTGTGTTCTGATTTGCTGTGGAAGGTTTGTGGCCATCCTGCATAGAGCAGGTCAGTTGGCACCATTTTTCCAAGAGTATGTGCTCACTTACTGTCTCTGTGTCACACTTTGACCATTCTCGAGATATTTCAGACTGTTTTCATTTTGCCATTACCCACTTCACTTTGATGTGCACTGGGGAAACCAGACAATTTTTGTGACTCACTTTATTACAACATTTCTCTATGACGGTGGGTTGGAACAGAACCCGGAGTCTGCTAAGCCTGTCTGTAATTCTCACTGTTGTTGTTGTTGTTGTAACGTACTGTGGAGTCAGTTCCCACTCATAGTGACCCTGCACAGGGTTTCCTAGGCTATAAATCTTTACGGGAGCAGAATGCCTCATCTTTCTCCCACGGAACAGCTGGTAGTTTTGAACTGCTGACCTTGAGGTTAGCAGCCCGACTCGTAACCACTACGCTACCAGAGCTCCTTCTCACTAGTGAACCAAAAATAGTGGAGTTGAGATCGCTTCATATTGCAGAGATGAAAATTACTAGTCGAAGTTCAGAATCAGCATAGGGCCAGTTGTTTATAAGGCATAACAGAGAAAAATGATATACAATTATATTTTAAAATTTCGGATAAAGATTGATCATGAGTGTGATGTTTAATGTTTAATTTAATATATCATTAGAACTCTTCTTAGACAAGATTTGAGTGTGCGTGTGGATTTGCATGAAGACAGGCCATTTGGGTTTTCTCGTGGATCTCTGCTTCCGCTTTCTTAGCTATAAAATGGAGCTAATAATAGTGTCTTCCTTTACTAGTCACGGCTTAGTATTAAATCACTTCATACCTAGAAAGCACTTCAAGTAGTACTAAGGGCCAGTGCACAGCTGGGGGCTATTCTTATTCCTGTTTCTATCACACTATGTTTTTTTGTTGTTAAGTACCATTGAGTCAGTTCCAAGCCATAGCGACCCTGTATAGGGTTTCCAAGAAGCAGCTGATGAGCTTGAACCGCCAACTGTGTGGTTCAAACCGACTTTGCCGTCCAGTGCACTAACCCACAGCGCTGCCCCAGGACTCCACACTGTGCGCTCCAGCTAATTATGAACACCTGCAGTCCTGCAAGTGTTCTAGTCTTGACTTTCCTGCTGCTTTCTCTATTACTCACAGCTGACAATTTTTGGTTATGTATCTTTGTAAGTCAACATCAGCCCTTTTTGGAATACGCAGACATATGTGCACATGCGTGTTTTGTTTGTTTGGTGTTTTTTTAGTGTTTATTGTGAATTATAAGATAGTTTACATGGGAGAACATTAGTTTTACATTCATTCTATATTGTATCATTGCCATGGTTACAATCCTCTCCATGCATCATCAACCAACCAAAGGGTATACCCTGCAAGCCTGCACCTTACACTACCCCCTACCCCCACCTCCCAGTCTTCAGCACACAGTC